ATCATAGACAGTATCAATAGAGATTTTCCATAAAAATAATTTCTCTTCGTCTGGTACAAAACTGTGATAGCTTCTTGTCCCTGGGACTGTTCCTCCTATTGCATCACATGGACTTTTGCCATGGGATGTAGCAAAGAAATGATACTTAGTATTTATATTGCGATTTTCAAGGTTGTACATTAAGTTTAACAGACAATTGTAGTTTTCTTACTGTGACACAGCACTATCACTGAAGTATTTTTTTAATTGTGGGTTTCATTTTGATTATAGGGAGTAACTTTGTGAGAAACCAAAATTGTTGTTTGGTCATGTGAAGATGATCAGAAATTGTACATTTGAGTTGATTTTTATCACCTTTTTAATAAACAGCGAATGGATTTAAGGTAGCTTGATTGGCTTGCGAGTAAAACCCTTGTGCAGCATCTTGCACAGGAAAACTATAGGTCTCTGCAAAATCTATAAGAATAAGACAAGTGTGTCGATCTAATGTTCTTTTTGCTTCGGATAAGTAGGAGGATTGTGCTTCTTTGATGAAATGTGGTGACAAAGGTCATACAAAGTTTCACATAGAGTTTCCATAAACTCAATAATGCTTGTTTGGACTGTGACAAGTACAGTTTGGTCAGTTGACATCCATTGTTTGTATGTGATCTGATTGTCAAAATCAAAATCATTATTTTCAAACACATTTTCCAAGTAAGTCTTTAAATTTACTTTACCGGGGCAGTTGGAACAGAGATGAAACATGCAGCTTCAACTATCTATATTACAAACACATACTTTTGACAAATCTTTGACAAAAAGTATGTGTTATAGTATTTATAGTTATAGTAACATAAGTATGTATTTAAAAGTATGTGTAATATAGATAGCTGAAGCTAACAGTTTGTCTAAATCATTACAGTTTATACATTTTTGCTCTTTTTCTGATACTATATCTTTTGGGTCTATATCCGTTGCTGACGCTACTAGGTTTGTCATACTTGTTGCAATTTTTTTAGCCTTTGATTTCCATATCCTTATTTATCATGCCTACTTACATTTTTGAGTGGAGATATTTCCAATAAAGACACATTTTTATTAAAAACTGTCTTATATTAAAATAGAGGGTTAAACATGTAACTAAAGGGTTAAACATCTAAAAAAAACTTTTTTATATTTTTCCAGTAATAAAATCAGTAAAAATGAAATCTCAAGTATAAATGTGATTAAAATTGTCTAAAATGCAACCAATAAACTATTTCTACATATAACTATTTCTACATACACAAAACTTTTAGTTTTTGGTTCTTGCAATATTAAAAACTAAAATAATAAAAAAATAAAATACTGTGCAAATTAAGACTTTAATGCAAACTCTTGAAGCAAGTATTTTCACTCAAACTATACAAAAGTGAAGTATTTTACACTCAAGTTATAACCATGTAAAAACTATATATTATTATACTATTATTTATATATTATTATATAAGATTTTATTTTAGGAAAAACTGATTATATTTATTCAGGGAAAAATTAAAAATATACACCTAAGTCATATGCCTACAATCATGTCACAAGGTCTTTAAATTTTTTTGGTGATTATCTATATATAGAACCTTGCCAATAAAAAGTTTCATGATTTATTTTAATTGTCTACTCTACTTTCTATGCCTACAAAGTGAATGTAATTTATCATATTTTTTTTAAAAAAAGTGATAAATTAACAGGCTGCTGCAAGTGCTAAAATAACTTATAACACATATTTTAATTTTTCCACAAGTTGTTACTCTAAGTACACAAAAGTAACAAAAAATTGGCACAGCTTGTCTGTTGGTGTTGAACTGTAGCACATTAAAATTTCAAAAAAAAATTTCTAATATTGCCTTATTTAGCAGCTTTGAGATGCAAGAAATTAAAAATTGTTTAAAATCAGTCAAAAACACCTGCAAAAATAGATAACTTGCGTGAAAAAATATTTACTTTTTAAAATTTCAGGTTTTTTTATCTATTTTATTTAAAAAGTTATGATCTGTTAAAAATAGGGATGTACCGAAGCTTCGGCTTCGGCTTCGGCGTGCCGAAGCTTCGGTTCGGCCGAAGCCAGGTCAATTTTTTGCCGAATCTTTGGCTTCGGCAAAAAAATTTAAGTATTGTAGGACAAGTTATAAAAATAAGCTAATTGCCAGTGTCTAATAAAGTTATAAATTTAGAACTACAGAGTTAAAATTGGAGTCTATACCATATACTTAGTATTATTTACTCCCAAGTGTCTTGTTATGGAGGGGATAATAATAAATAAGTAAAAATATTTTGAAAAAAAAAATAAAATTAGCGAAGGTCCTCATACACTTTGAAAGCTTCCAAGTGTGACTTTAGATGAACTGAAGCAGCATTTCTATGCAGAATAAAAACCTTATAATTTAAGACAAATTAAAAGTTTTTAAAACCTTAATTTGTATTATGTAACGAATTCATATAAATTATTGTGTGGGATTACCGCAAATAGAACAAAATTTGGTTTCAACATTTGACCGATAAACCTTAGTAATCTCTCTTTAAAGAAGATTAAAGATACGTTGCTACTATTTTAAATTGTGTGTATGTTTAATTTTTTAAAATTTTATTTAACCATATTAATAAAAATTTGCAACATTTCATCGTAAATTTACAGAATTTGGTTAGGTGTCACTTATATAGATACAAAAATAGTCAATGGAGTGACACATAAAAAACATAAAGTTCTCAACATTAAAAAAAGGAAAAAAAGC